CAGGCTGTCCCAAAACTCCAAACCCTAAGCCCAAAGCCGTAAGCCCTAAGCCCAAAGCCCTAAGCCCTAAGCCCTAAACCCTAAACCCCTAAACCCCTAAACCCTAAACCCTGAACCCCTAAACCCCTATACCCTGAACCCTGAACCCTGAACCCTTGTAGACCTAAGTCGTAAAGCCCTTAGCATTCTGAAGTCCAAGAAGTCCAAGCCTAGAGCCCCTTCGCCCTACCTTAACCTACCAAAGCCTAGTTTTTTGTAGGTTCTTATTATGAACCTTAAAAGGGAATTTATAGGGACCCTACAAAAAAGGCAGGTTTTGGTAGGTTATCATAATCAACCCTACACCCTAAACTCTGAACCCTAAACCCGAACACTTGAATCCTGATCCCAAAACCCTAAGCCCGAAACCCAAGCAATATAGAAGTTTAGGGTTTAGGGTTTAGGGCCCAAATAATTCCCAAGATTATGGGTAGGGCTCCCAAAGGAGCCCAAAACCCTATTCTGATTGTTCATGAAGGCCCTGATGATCAGGAGATGACCAAGTTCCTGGTGACTCCAAACCCTAAACCCTAAACCCTAAAACCTGATCAGGAGATGACCAAGTTCCTGGTGACTCCAAACCAGACCATCCTGGGGGCGGCGATCGCGGCCCTAGGCCGTGGCGAGCAGACTCAGGCGCCCGGGTTTCGCGGGGTTTCCTTGAAGGGCCTCTCCTTATTATAGGGTTTAGGGTTAAGGGCTTAGGTTTAGGGTTTTAGGGTTTAGGCTTTAGGGTATAAGGGTTTCGACAAGGGCTTCCAGAAGGGTTCTATGAGGGGTTAGGGTGTTGGGGTTTGGGCTAGGGGTGCGGGCTTGTGTTGCAGATTGCGTTTTAGGGTTTGCGGGTCTTGGGTTAGGGTGGTGCTCACGTTTATCCCGCAAAAGCTTAATGAGGGTTGTCTCTGTTCTCGTGCTGAAAACATGTTAAAGTGCTTTTTGAATTTCTCCGCGGGTTGGATCAACCAGAGCACTACACTGGTTTGGGATGCACGGGGTCAAGCATATTATGTGATAGGGTGGTTAGGTGCCATTTTTTGTCCAGGGGGTTGTAAAGCCAATCACAAGATTAAGTGGGCACCTTCGTTTTACTTTAGGGCTTCGGGGTTGGGGTTGAGGTTTTGGGGTAGTGGGAGTCCGGATTTTAGAGTCGTTTTGTCGGCTGTGTCCACATTTTTAGTGAATACGGTTGTAAACTCTACCTAAACCCCAAGACCTAAACCTTAATCCTAAACACTAAGCTGGCCCTAAATCCTAAACCTTTTAAGCCCTAAGCCCAAAAAGCCTTGAAGCCCATAAGCACTAGGCCTGTTTAGGGTTTGGGGTTCAAGGTATATGCCCTAAGCCTGAAACCCCTTATCCTGGATGGCAGGAAGCATTGCAGCTGCTCGAGGAGAGCGTCGTGGCGAGAATGCAGTCAAGTCAGATCAGCTACAACTCTGCAACTAGGCCGGTTTAGGGTTGAGGGTTTAGGGTTTAGGGTTTAGGGTTAAGGGTTTAGGCATTAGTTTGGGGTTTTGGTTTCAGGTTTTGGGGTTTAGGTTTGAGGGTTTAGGGGAACTCAGACGTTTTTTTGCAAGTCTGGGCAACTTTTCTTTTGAAGCGGAGTGTCAGCAAGAAAGGCGCCCTCGGGTATTATCGAGGGATATCTCGGGCACCTAGGCAATCACCGCCTGCCAGCGAAGAGGACACTGGCAGATGTCACTCCATCTGCTCGCAGCAATGCCATCTGTAGGCTACGCACCGCTTTCGGATTACTTACAACCCTAAACCCTAAACCTAAGCACAGGTCGTGTTTGGGGCTCTTTTTTTAACCAACTCACCCCAAACCCTAAGCCCTAAACCCTAAACCCAACCACAGGTTGTTTTGGGGCTCTTTTTTTAAATCGACTCCCTCCAAAGGGCAAACCCTAAACCCAAACCCCTAAACCCCGAAACCCTAAACCTGACCCCCTAAAACCCTAAACCCCAAACCCTAAACCCTAAACCCCAAACCCTAAACCCTAAACCCGAAACCCCAAACCCTAACCCCAAACCCTAAACCCCAAACCCTAAACCCCAAACCCTAAACCCTAAACCCTAAACCCCAAACCCTAAAGGGCTCCTGCCGGATCTCATCTCCTTCAACGCTTCCATGAGCTCCTGCGAACGAGGAGGGCAACTTGGTGGCAGTGCGAGCCTTGAGGGGTTCATGTAGGTTTTAGGTTTTAGGTGGGGAGTTTAGGGTTTAGGGTTTAGGATTTAGGGTTTAAGATTTAGGCGAGAGGTTTTGGAGTTTAAGGTTGAGAGTTTAGTTGTTTTTAGTTTTTAGCCTTTCGCCCGTTTGACCTTTGGGTTCGTATTGCCTCACCATTACTACCGAAGCTTCACTCTTCAACTTCCCCTAAGCCCTGAACCCTAAACACTAAATCTTAAGGGTTTAGGGTTTAGTTTAAATCATAAACCCTAAACCTTAAGGGTTTAGGGTTTAGTTTGAATCATAAACCCTAAACCCTAAACCCTAGGGTTTAGGGTTTAGGGCATGAGACTGGACAAGTAAGGCAATGGCAGATGGCTCTGCAGCTGTTTTCAGATCTCCGGAGCGTTTCGCAGGCTCCCGATGTTATTAGCTTCAATGCTGCCATCAGCTCCTGTGAGAAGGTGAGGGTTTCCGAAAATAGGGGACCCTAATTTAGTACCCTAAATAGTAGGGGACCCTAATATAGTACCTTAAATAGTAGGATCCTTATTATAAGGACTCCAAAATAAGGTACCCATTATTTTCGGAAACTCCCAGGTGGGACACTGGCAAATGGCTCTTTGCCTTTTCTCCGACCTGCCTGCAGCCAAGCTGCTTCCTGATGAAGTGACTTTCGGAGCTGCGGTGAGTGCCTGTGAAAAAGCCAGCGAGTGGAGCATGGCTCTGCATCTGCTGGCGATGATGAAGTGGGAGACAAATGCTGACCTGAACCTGACAAGCTTTGGTGCTGCTATCAGTGCCTGCGAACGTAGTGGGCGCTGGCCGGCTGTGCTGCTACTACTGGCCGACATGAAAGAAGTTCAGCTGCTTCCGAACGAGCTGTGCTTCAGTGCGGCCATATCCACCTGCAAGAGGGGCCGGCAGTGGCAGCTTGCGCTACACCTCTTATCACTGATGCAATCTCCGAACGTGATCAGCTGCAGTGCAGCCATCGAGGCTTGTGAGGCTGCTTGTCAGAGCCGACGACTTGTGCAGCTGTTGGCAGGCCTCCAGACAGCTCTTTCCTTTCCGCTCAACCCGGCCAGCCAATCCCGACTTTCAGGTACTTAAAGGATCATGGGACTTAGTAAGTAGGGTTAGAATTTAAGGTAACTATACTTATAACCCCAATTAGGGGACTTATAACCTTACTTACTAAACCCTAAACCCTAAACCCTAAACCCTAAACCCTAAACCCTAAACCCTAAACCCTAAACCCTAAACTTACTAAGTCCCACGGTCCTCCAAGTATGATGTCTCTGACGAGAAGCCTCGGCACCGGGACATCAGCCCGCTGATTGCATGGCAGAGAGGCTTTGTTTAGGGTTTAGGGTTTAGGGTTTAGGGTTTAGGGTTTAGGGGAACCCAGACCCCCGAAAGGATCTAGAAAGTAGATCCCTTAAGGGGGTTCCTATTAAAATACCCTTCAGTAGTTAGGGTCCCAAATTAGGGGTTCTACTTTTTAGATCCTCCCGGGGGTCTGGGAATGGATGGGAGGCTTTCGGCATCGGGGCGGGAGGCAGGCTGACACTGCGGATGAGTTTCTTGCGGGCTAATGTAGGGGCCTGAAGAATTGCAACTCCTATTTTGGGGGTTCCTTGTTATAACATCAGTAGAACAGGCCCCGAAACCCTATTCTAATTTTTTTTAAGGCCCCTACATTCGTGCATCTCGAATTTGACCCTCCAGTGAGCGAAACACGGAGTGCAGCAACCTGCGGCCGAGAACTGCGGTAGAGCCCGCCTTGAAGGCTTTGAGGATGTAGTGTAGGGGCCTTAATAATTAGAATAGGGTTTTGGCGTTCCTTAATATAATTATATGGTATGATATACCCCAAACCCTATTCTAATGATCAAGGCCCCTATACTAGGAACCACGAGCGGCTTGCATTGACGAGGTTATCCCTAGTCTTCGCAGGTTTCATAGCCCGATCAGGTTATGCTGTCAGTGTGTGTGTGTGTGTCTGTGTGTGTGTGTGCGTTGTGGCTACTAGTTTTTAATGTTTACAGGCAGTAGTCTCGACTGCTGATTGCGTCAGCGTCTGGGTATGTGTACTTGTATGTGTATGTCTATGTCCACGTGTTCCTGTACATGTACATGTATCTCTGAGTGTACAGGTACGCGCATGAATAAGCATATGCGAATGCATATATGTATGTGTATGCGTATGTATTTGTATCTATACTTATATATATATATACACACACATACAGGTATACATACATGCATGCATGCTTACATACATACATGCATGCATACATACATACATACATACATACATACATACATACATACATACTTACATACGTATATACATGAATATATATATATATATATATATGTACACAGAGAGAGAGAGAGAGAGAAAGCGAGAGAAGCTCAGTCCTGTCCTTACACTCAGATACGTTCGTGCTGTATGCCACAAGGGTCGGAACACTCAGCTGACTTGGCAATAATATCCAATAATAGTAGTAGTAATAAAGTAAGTACGTAGTCGTGATAAGGACCATAGTACTAGAAGTAGCTAGAATAAGAATACACATGATCATCGGAATGCTTAGTAAGAACATCCCCTTTTAGGGTTCAGTGTTCTTGTTTTCTTCAGCCTGCATGCTTCTGATGCTATCCGACGTGTTCAGGTTTGGATGATGCCTGGATGGGCAGGAATAATTACAAACAATAATGATAATGATAGTCATGCTAACAAGAGTAACGATAATCCAAGCCCCTGAACCCGAAACCCTGAACCCCTCGACCCCTAAGCCCTAAACCTTGGATCATTGCATGTGGTTTGGCACTTCTCCTTTGACATGTTGCGCGAATCGGCAGGAGCTCCACATGCTCGGAGCTGTGTTTGGCAGCGGTGACCGGCGAAAGCTGAGATGCCCCCTAAACCCGGGAAGAGCACCGATCAAACATGTGTTGAGGAAATTTGAAATATTCACGCACTTCAAGCAAGCGGATGTATTAATTATCTGCCTTCTGATGCCAGCAAGTTCTCGCTCCCAAACCCCCCGAAAGTCTTCAACTCCCACCTAAACCCAGAACAGAAATCATAGACCTCCTTGTCGACGACCGGCTCTGCCCCCCCCCCCCCCCCCCCC